CACACACACACACACACACACTCACACACACACACAGACCCACACCCACACCCACGCCCACCCACCCACCCACCCACCCCCCCACACACACACACCTTGTCTTTGTAGAGTTGCGTATAGCAAATATGACGATACACGCACTCACATGCAAATCGACACCCACACCCATGCCCACCTACACACACCCATCCACCCACCCACCCACACACACACACACACACTGATGCATGCTCTATCGAGTGATGCATATGGACCCAAAGGATCCGCAAAGTGATGAAAAGGACTCGAATGAACAATGCAGCATCAGAGAAGCATCAACAGGCAATGTTTTTTTTTTTTTTGGAAGAAAGCCTTGGCTGTCTATTAGAAGGGATGATACGAGCAGCCACCCCTAGTAGTGGCCTCCAGCTGCTCCATCTATTGGTGGGGAGCTGCACCTGCTGGAAAATGGGTCCAGCATCCCTTATACAATCGGCAAAAGCTGTTATCCAGATCATTGTGTTGTAGCCGCCAGCATTGATTGCCCCTGACTCTTTGGGGGGTCGACTGTGTGGGTAGTGATGCGTGTGTTGGTGAGCTAGGCCTGCCTCATCAGCCCTTTTGGGGGCCACCTGATTCTATCTGTAACCCCTAGCAGTCTAGCTACTATTTCTGTTGTCATCCTTCCTTACAGTCTAAACTACAGTCTGAGCACTCTTCAGCCTCTTTAAACCCTAAACCCTTCCTCCCATTGTGCACTTGCTCTCACCCTCTCCAACTGTCAGTCATTCTTCCGGCCCCAAATTGGCTCCCCTTGGGGGGCTTTTGTCCTCTATTCCCTGTCTCTTTCTTCCCATCGCTCTCCCCCATACCATTCTATTCCTACTAGGCTGTTAGCAAGGGAGGGGGGCGGGGGGGAATAACTCCGGTAATTCTTCCTTTGGTCGCATTGGGATTGAGTTGTCCAGCTTGGTCCAGTCGTGGAAAAGGACTCTGTAGTCTTTGTTTGTCCCCTTGTTGTCCTGCATCCTCCCTTGTTCCCTTCTTTCCCCATTCCATTCCAGTTCCCATCCTCCCCCCTGTTTCCCCCCCAAGCCTGCTTTTGCAGAGTTCTTGTATCCTTTGTTTTATTTCGTTCAATGTGTGTATGTGACTGAGACTTGACTTCCTCCCACCGTGTTGTTATGTTCGTGTGAATTTGTTGTTGTATGCTTTCCATAAACTCCGGCCCTCCCAACCTCAGTCCTTTCATCTCGTAGGTGCAGCGGCGTCTCCAGAGTGCCCATAGCACTGCCCTGCGTCCCAGTTTGAACATATTGAGAGTGAAATTATCAGGCTGTCCGGCGGGCCATATCTCAAACAGCAAGGCTTTCCAGTCCCATGGCCAGGGTGCCCCTGTTCCAAGATGATCCCAGACCCTGTCCCACCATCGCCAAAGCCAAACCGTGCTGGAGCATTGTAGAAAAATATGTTCTATCGTTTCTGTTTTTTTCCTTGATGGGAATGCACTGGAGCAGAGACTGCACCAGGGTACGGCGAGCCCTCTCTGTTCGAGAGTCGTCCTGTCTATCAGCCAATTGTTGGTTGGTAGGCACCGGGGCTCTACCTGCCATTGCAGGGAAGCGAGATTCACAGGTTTCTTCTTAGTCAGCTGAAACCATTTCACGTTTTTAGTGATTCCTTGCTAACGTTCAGGTGTTTCATCCATCTCGTTTCCACCTGGTCCCGCAGGTTGATTTTTGGTCGGAGCAGTCTGTATGTTGCTTTAACTGTTATGTTGTACAGTGTGTTGTACAGTGTCCTAGTGCTTTCGTTGCCCCTACCGACTGTGTTTGTCCATACCCACTCTAATGGGTCAAGAGGCAGCTGGGATATCGGGGTGTCCGAAAGAAATGCCACCCTTCTGTCTTTCACCAGAAGCACCCTGATTCTTGAGAGTTCATGCTCCCCACAAAGCTGTATCTGCTCTGGATTGCAGGGAATTATCCTTGCCTATCATGAATGTATCTGCCACCCCTGGCCCTTTTGGATTACAGCACACCATGTTGCCCACCACCTCCTGGCGAACCCGAAGTTCCACCCAGTCAGACTCTTGTAACGAGGGTCCCTTTTTTAGGGTTTTCCACCAGCTAAGGGGGACACATTCTATTATACTTTCCAGTTCTCCCTCGGGTCTATGGCAGTATCGCAGTTTCTCTTTGAGTTGGTACCGGCTAATCCAATCTCTTTTGTCCGCCTCCCAAATGTCCATGTTTCTAAGAACCCCCCGTTTCACCCAACCTTTCCAGGGGGAGTCCATGCAGTGAAGGATTTGACCCCTCGAGTTCACTATCCCTCTATTTCCCGAATAGTGGTTGTCGGGCTACCTCGTCCCATCTTTCTGGTTGGGGTTTGTCCGGCAGGGGGAGGTTCCTCTATATCTTTAGAAGAGCTGGCCAAAAGGGGTCGTTGTGAAGGTCCTCTCTTGCCTCTTGCCTGGTGAATTGGTCGAGGGGTTTTCTTGCCAGGATCGCCGTCTCGGGAGTGGCCATTCTCTGTTCTCTAACCACGTGAGCGGGTTGATATGGGCCGGTGTCTCCATGGCCAGTCGAGAGATTTGATCTAAGGCCAGCTCCTTCCATGGGATGTGTGGGCAAAAGAGCAGACATTTGCGACATTTTATGGCCAATGCCTTGGTTTTTGTTGCCGGGTCAATTATACCCAGTCCCCCTTTCGCTTTGGGTTGGATTATTGCCTCCCATGCAACCCTGTTGATCACATTTTGTTCTTCGTGGTCACCTCGCCATAGAAACGCGGCTATTTGCCGCTGGAGGGGGCGAAGGGCAACCTTGTCCAACACCCAGATGGCCAATCTATACCAAAGAGAGGCGAGTACAACATTGTTGATCACCAGGGTCCTACCGATCAGTGAGGTGTGTTTGTCCTTCCATAATGCTAGCTTCTCTAAGGAGGGGTTGGATATCCATTCATTATTGGTTGATGGTCTGCCATTTGTCGTCAATGAGGCTCCCAGGACTCGAATGGGGGCCTCTTGGGGGAGCCACCTAACCCTTGGTTGTTCTGGGGGTCTTACTCCTTGGTGATGGATCCACCATCCGAGGGTCTTGTTCCCCTAGTTGACTCTCATGTTGGATAGGGTACACACATCGGTCCATCATGTTTTGGACTAACTTTCATGGACTCTTGCGTTGCGTCAACCATCAGGGTGAGGTCATTAGCGAATAGTGAGCAAACTGGGATGGCTTCTTTTGGGATCGACGATATTTGTATTCTCTTGATGTCTTTGTGGACCCTTAAGTTTGTTGCCAGCGCCTCCATAACTATGACAAAAGAAACGGGGCTAGGTCACCTTGTCTCACAGATCTCTGCATGTTGATAGGCGGTGCTAGGTCGTCGTTGGCCATGACTCTGATTGTTGCATTTTTATGCAGGATTCCCACCCATCATCTGAACCGTGGTCCGAAGTTCAGCTTTTCCAGGCATTATCTCGGAATGTCCATTCTACATGGTCATAAGCTTTCTCAAAATCAATGAAGATGAGTGCGGCGCTTCGTTTAGGTTGTCTTGCTAGCTTGATCACCGCATTGACTAAGAGGATGTTATCCTGGATGTTTCTTCCCTTGATGAATCCTGTCTGGTCTGGGTGGACAACATCCTCCATTAGCTTAGCCATCCGGTTTGCTAGCGCTTTAGCCACCATCTTGTAAACCATTGTGAGGAGTGTGATAGGTTTGTAGTTTCAAATATTCGTCTTTGCTCCTTTTTTGTATAGGAGTGTTAGAACCCCTTGCATCCAGATACACACAAAAATAGCACAATGTAGCGCAGCAGAAGACTCAAAAATATGACCTGACTTGTCAGATACTGACGCGACTCAACCCATCAGATGAGAGAGAGGAGGACCAAATGCATAGAATCAAGGTCCCTCCTTTGACGCGCACATGGGGAGATACCATGGATGAGGTGGATAGAGGAAGGGCAAGACGAAGATGGAGATGTGGCTGGTTGGCTGGCTGGCTGTCTCTCTTTCTCTCTCTCTCTCTCTCTCTCTCTCTCTCTCTCTCTCTCTCTCTCTCTCTCTCAGTGTGTTTGCCATGTTCGCTATTATGTGGTGTGTTTGTGCCTGCGTGTGTGTGTGTGCTCGTGTGTGTATGTGTGTGTGCACGCAGATGGGTGTGTGCGTGTGCGCGGATGTGTCTCCATATATGTGTGTGTGTGCGATGATGTGTGTGTGTGTGCCGACGTGTGTGTGTGTGTGTGCATATTCGTGTGTGTGCGTGTGATTGTTGTCACTTTCGCCATACATAACTCCACAAAAGGAAGCATGACAGACTGTTTCGCCGGACTTAAAGGAGGTTGAACCTCCACAGTCTGCCCAGGATGCAAGTGCATACATGCACGGGCATGTGTGTGTCCAGGATGCAAGTGCGTACATGCGTGGGCATGCGTGTGTCCAGAATTCAAGTGTGTACATGTGTGGGTATGTGCGTCCATCTGCGTGCTTGCTTTCGCGCGCGAGAGAGGGAGGGCGCCTTCGACCGTGAGCGAGAACCATCAGCCGCACTATAGGGCCATACAATTCAGCGCGTAGAGGAGTCTGTTCGTGTAAGGCGTTTGTCTGCTTCGTTATGATGCAGTGCATCCTGTAGAGTTTGTCGGCGGGTCGCGTGTAGAGTACGGCCAGGCCCTGAACTCAGCGGGCCGTCAACGGGCCAATGCCCAACAGGCACTGGGCATGAGGCCCGGCAGTTTTTTCGACTACCTACCGGCCCGTACAGGTCCTCTTTCCAACGGCCTCGTTGATCCAGACCGTCAGCTGGCTCGACGGTTCAGATCATCGTGCGATCTTAAGACTTTAAGATTGCGCGACAATCCAGGCCATCCGACCTGGCGAACAGGCTGGATCGTCGCGCGATCTTAAAGTCTTCAAGGCTTAAGATCGCGCGAAAATCTGGACCGTCGGGCCAGTAGGACCGCGGCAGCCCGGAGTGCCCATTTCTCACGTTAGCGATTTCAATAAGTGTAGGGATTGTGCTTCATTTTGCTTGCTATATGTTCCATTGTAGGATTGCCTCATCTCAAGTGTGCTTCATTGTCCGAAATAGAGGTAAAGCTGCTTCGACTTTGGATCTTATCTTCTGGGCAGAACAGGGACTGTTGTGGTGACAATCCACAACACACCCACACCCACATACACGCACACACTCACACACACACGCACACACACACACACACGCCCCAAAGAAAACTGAAGTAAAGAGAGTCGGAAAGGGATATAAGTTCATATAACAAATCCATTGTGCTTCATTTTGCTTGCGATATATTTCATTGTAGGATTGGCTCATCTCAAGTGTGCTTCATTATCTGCAATAGAGGCCCGTACTAGCAAGCTATTCCTTTTTGTGGTTGGTCAATTTGTCGATCGTTCTATTTCCATGCATGGCCTAATTCTTTGCCCTGCTGTAGAGCAGGTGCTGTTTGTTGATGAAGGCATGTTTGTGGGTGGTAACAATCTTCTTAGGCGGGAATGTTTGTTTGGAGTCATGGTCACGGTATCTTCGAGAGGAGGCTGAGAGAGTCTTTGGTGTGGGTGTCACTCCCATGGGGCTGCCCTTTTGCAGCACATGGAAGGCGGTGGTGCTTCCATGTTGTTTTAAGCAGTGGTGCTCCTGGTGTCGCGTGGAGATTCTGTGAATGTATGCTTGGAGTTCTGGCCACAGTATCTTGGCAAGGAGACTCAGAGAGTGTTTGCAGTCAGTGCCATTCCCATCGGCCGCACTTTTGGAGCACATGGAAGAAACAGGGACTTCCAGGGTGTTTTAAGCAGTAGCCCTCCTGGTGTGCGTGAAGATCTTGTGGTCTTTTGGGAATATGGTACTCTATACACTCCAGAGAAGGACTGTCTAGCCATGGACCGATAGAGATAGTGGTGATGTGAATGGGTCGTTTGGGAGGAATAGGAGTGCCAGTGCTGCTGTGTTTGTGGGCCGACTTGGAGGGCTCTCCTAATTTCTTCGGACTATTGCTCGATCTGGTTGGTGCTTTCTTGCTGGTGGAGCCTTCTGTGTTTGGTATGTCGCCTTCTGCCCTTTACCTTTGTTTTTATAGATTGAACAAACCATATATATTTATGCCAGTGTGTCGCCTCGGTGGCAGACGGGCGTGTGGGCACTTCCTGCTCAACCATGGAAACGTGGGGAACCTTGCACCTACTATTGTATTGTCCATCTATACTTCTTCTGTTTATGGATGGTTTGTGATGGTATGTGGATGGAATGAGAGAGAGAGAGAGAGTTTGGGGATGTTGACAAACACACACACACACACACACACACACACACACACACACACACACACACACAGGGTTGGTGTGAGTAAAGTCGGCCACTTTTCTCAGGGGTATCGCTAACTCTGGCTGATGTGGTGTGTCCTTGTCCATCAGTCAAATGCATCCTGGGAAGGCTGTCAGGGTTCAACCTCCTGATGACTTGGTGAAAATCCAACAAAACAGTCTGGCACAGTCATGCTTTTTTGAGTGTATAGTCAATATGACAACACACACACACACACACACACACACACACACACACACACGTGGGGAACCTTGCACCTTCTGTTGTATTGTTCATCTATACTTTTTTTGTTTATGGATGGCTTGTGATGGTATGTGGGTGGAATGAGAGAGAATTTGGGGATGTTAACAAACACAAACACACACACACACACACACACACACACACACACACACACACACACACACACACACACGGGGAGAAGGGAGAGAGAACGCAGGCTTACCTTGGACATCACAAACAAGCTCTAACTGCTCCTCCAGCAGCGTCTTCAGCCTACTGTAACCGGGAAATCCAGCAACATATAGCACATCATCCAGATCACGGAATTTCCCTGCATCATCGCCTTTCTACAAAAAAAATAAAGTCAGTGTACACCAAATTGTCCTCATCATGTTCCTTGAATTATCGCCTTTCTACAAAACAAACAAAGTCGCAAAGGACCTGCAAAAACACGGAGTGAGAACACTGCTGATTTCTGAGTTTTGCCGCCGGAATGTATGCCTTGCTCAGATTCCCTCGTTCTGCTGAGTTTTCAAAGTTTGTGTGTGTGCGTGCTTTGCTAGTCCACGTGCCTGTCTGAATGCTTGTCAAGCCGAGTGTGTGTGTCGCCCGTCAGGGCACTTATTTGTTTGCGAGGCCCGTGGGGCCAGTACTTACCTGTGGCCGTGACTTTGAGGGTTGCAGCAGGGAAAAACACTCATGTGGCCGAAGGGGTAGCGTAGGGCCCACTCAAGTGGTGGTAGGTAGGTACCGGTAGTACTTGAGGAGCTATAAACCGAGCAGAAGAAGACAAAAAGTTAGTACCTTGAGGGGTAGAGGTCCAGTAGGTACAGTCTAGGGCCTGTAGAGGTAGATATCAGGTCCGCAATAATGTTTTCCTCCGAAACAGAGGTGGTACCAGTTGCTTGGAGGCCGCGCGGCCTGGAAGTAACCGCCCAGGAGGCTGGTAGGCCGCTATATCTCCAGGAGGCGCGAGTAGCTCCTCATTTGCTGCATGCAAGTTTGGGCGTCATGCTGCTGGAGCACCTGGAGGTTGAGTGCTAGTGTGAGGCGCTAGGGGAAGGAGCGCCAGGGGTCTCACCTCAGCTATGATGGACAGCGCCTGGTAGGAGGAGAAAAAGAAAGGGACTAGGGAGGAGAGCGGCCTGGGGTACTTACCTGGCAATGGTGGGCACCATCTTCATCTCCTTCGTAGGCACAGCATCTGGAAGCCCCCTACTGGCGTAGCGCTACACCAAGAAGGCTTCAAGGCAGAGTCAGGCATTGCAGCCTGAAGAGTGGAGGATATAGCTGGTTTGCGTTGCCTTTTGAGCATCGGGCAAGGCCCCTAGTAGTCCACCATAGCCAGGACCTGTCAGAGGTGGAGGAAGATGGAGGACATGGCTATGGTGGACCTCATATTGTGCTGGCAGAAGATGAGGGATTTGGACATTTGTTCTGGATCTGTCATTAATTGTTATTATGATTTTTATTGTTGAATACGAGAGGGGGAGATAAGGAGGAGGAGATTGGTTGGCGATGAGAAGGGGGATTTGTCATTGGTCTTTTGCCGGTGTACATTGCAATGAACCCAGTCAGGAGAGAAACTCGTCAAGTGTCGAAATACAAGATGTCTCAGCGCTGATAAATGTCTGCAAAATAATCCTGAAATGTGATCTGTAATACAATGTCTCATAACTAGAGGACAAAGCAGATAGGAGGGAGAGTAGACTAAGAGGGTGGAAGAGAAAGTATCCATCAATGTCTCTGTAGATAGATCTCCCTCAATCCATACTTCTTCTTCGGGCGTCTCCCCACATCCACGTCAGCAAACAGTGTCCCAGAAACGAGTCTTACGAGATCTGATCACAACATAGTGCCACGTAGGCACAGATCTCCCATGAAGACGTCTCTGCAGTGCGAAATGTCGACAGCATCAACAGGTAAGTTCCCCCCTCTCTCACTCCATCAATCCCACAGTTCCTGATCTCCCTCCTTGTCGCATCCCCAATCTGTGTCGAAGACAGTGTGGCATGCACCACGTCAGCAATGCCAAAGACAGCGTGGCAAGTGCCACATCAGCATCCCACATTCATTTGCTTTTGCAATTGGACGACCTTGTATTTCCTTGTGTATTTGCACTTCGAAATTGGCCAGGATCATAACATGGGTATGAGAGCGGATTATATTTTCTGGCGAGAGTCGACTTTGCCGTCCCAACCCCTAAATGTTAACGTTTTCACGGCCTGGGATGCCAGGATCACAGCCGTAGAGACCAGATTGGCCTCGATGGACGCCACCCTGCAACGACTATCAGATGCTTTTTTCAGGCAGCTTCCACCATCTCCTACCCCTACTCCCACTCCTACTCCACCCACTCCTCCTTTTACCCCTTTACCCGTGACCCCACCACCACAGCAATACCATCTTGAAATTGTGCCCAGACAGGGACCGAGTTCTGGTTATGTACAGCCTGAACAGTTGTATCCCAAGATGGCCCAGCCTGAGAAGTTCACTGGGGAAGATCCCAAAGTGGACATCTCAGACTGGATAGCCCAAATGAGGTCTTACCTCAGGGGCTATACCTGACCAGAAGTGGACAAGGTGCATGCCACAGTGGCCCTCCGGGCATGGGTTGCGCTGAAGTGGGCAACTTCTGAGGCCAACAAGGCCCGGAAGCAGCTACATGATTGCATTGCTGTGATTGGTCTTGCATGGGTCCTGGGAACCAACTCACGCAGATGTGCATACATCAAACATCGTCTTCACACTCAATGGACACAGTTGCCACACACGAGACAAAGGTAGATGAGAATAGGACCAAGACCCGTCACTTATATTATCAAAAATTATGATTACAATGAGTTCACAGTTCCCTGAGTCAACGCGCTTCAGCGCAATACTAATCCTACATCAGATACATCAATGCCACCTTCGTCACTTGTTTCTAGCTCRGGTAAGTGTCCTCCATAACCAGACCTTGAAAGAACACTCTCTCTGTCTCAGTCCCTTCCTCTCACGATGCATACACACTCTTCTCTCACGAGGATCTACTCTGAATGTCACTCATAGCTATCTACACTAACCCTGCTAAGTCTACACTAATCTGCTGGGCAGCGATGGCTGCTTCCCTCCAGCGCCCAGCCTTCTTCTTCCCTCAGCGCATCTCCTTCTTCCAGCGCTGCTTCTGCCTGACTAGCGCACAAGTGCACCAGCACTTCCACGCATTGAATGCCAGTGGAGATCTGCGTGGAATGAGGCTGGCAGCTCCTTAAATAGTGCTGGCCTCTCCCCGTTGGGTCTGCATTGTCTCAATTCGGCCTGTCCTCTTGTCCCAGACCCTGCATTGCATGTGTCCCAGAGCATTCCCAATGAAAAGCAACTGCTGTGGAGGCCCTTTGGCMTGGATACGAATTTTGAAGTCTGGATCTGGACTGCCCCCATGACTCAGACCAAAAACTGRGACATAACTGTTGACTTCCTTTTGAATAGTCACATCTAGACGAACAGACACACTTACTGTCCGAACAGACATCAGCATTGCATATACAGACACAACTTCTCTTCTTTACACGAACAGGCACAATGGCTGCTCGTACAGACACACCTTATTCATGACCTACACAACTGCTGRCGAACAGGTAAGTCTTTTGACAATRCCCTTTGCTTCAGGATGTGCCCGTTGATAGAGAACTTGGACTCTTGACCTGCTTTTCACGTTTCTGAGCCCTGGCGAGATACCTTTTCAGGCTGCTTTACTTTTACATGGCCCACGTTGCTTAATTACAAGGCCTGAGGCCTACATTGGGTGAAAAAGGCCCTTTCA